TCCCAATCGTATCGTCTGCAACACCCATCTATCTGATGTGATATACTGCCAATTGAGATAGAAGGGGAGAAGACAGTGATCAAATAATTTTTGAGAGGATAAGTGGCCCTGGAGAGAATAAGTGGCTTCCCAAGCCCTCAACAGAAGCCTCAAATTTGTTTATTCAGTTGAGGAGGCTGGTTCATGTTATTAGAAAGTGTGCACTGACTCTGAGGCTTATTTCGGTTGCAGTCAGTGGTCTTACCTATGATTTTGGTGGGTATATGGTGGATATTGTGGCCTAGGATAAAGATGGTCTCTAAATTGCCTTCTCCTAGGTGTCAGCTTGTGGATCCCCAGGAAGCAGAATGTGGCTCTAGATTCCTTCATCATGTGCAGAAATCCATTTTTGGTGGCAGAGAAAAGCTTTTCCCCTTGGATTGGATTTTGCATGGGAAGGTGACTGAGTTAAACCATTAAGCAAGCCTCATTATGACCACAATGGCTGTGGATCTGGTGGTAGGGATGTTAAATTTAATGTAATCAACAAATTGACTAGTTGAGGGAATTTCCATCAACTTGTCAATTAGCCAATATGCAACAGAGCCGCAGCAGGTTAGCACCCACTCCAGGAGCTAAACCCGCTACAGCTCTGCCTTTTAAATTTATTAAGAGCCAGCAGGTTCTAAATACATGTAAAAGGTTGGTGCACAGCAGGGGGGACACGGCACAAGCCAGGAATAAGCTGTCCCAGCTTGCGCTGGTTCCCCTGCTGCGCTTCTCCTTTTTAAATGTATTAAGAGCCATCTGGCTGCCAACTCTTAATACATTTATAAAGCAGAGGCGCAGTATTTGAGACTGGGAGCGAGCTGGAAATCAGCTGAACCCTGGCAGAGACGGTGCTGGGGGGAATCAGCTTTTAAGCCAAGTCCCCACAGCACTGGCTTCTGCTTCCCCCTTGCTACTTCTGATAAGAGGCCGCAAGAGGGAGGGCGAAGTGACTAGTCAAGGCACTAGTCAACTATCCAATAAGCTTATGCTAACTGGATAGTCAACTAGTTGCTTACGTCCCTATCTGATAGCTGTGTCTGCCGCATCGAGGCCACCTGTAATGCCACATGAAAGATCACGTGGCCCTCAGATGACTACCTTAAACTGTTGCTTTTTTGCTTCTACAATGTCATTAATAAATCCGTTAAGTTTGGAATAATTGTTGGGATCATATTTACTCAAGGGGGTAGCATAAATTGCTACTCTAACTTGTAGCCTGGATGAGGTAAAAGACTTTTCTTCTGAAAAGATCCAGCCTTTTGCTGTCTCAGTCATAGGTGTGGAGTAGGGATGTAATAGTGTAGTCAATTAACCAATAAGTAAAAGTTGATAGGTTAATGCTATGGACTACACACATGCACCTCTACTCCCTTGACAGTAATTTTTTTAGCAGGCAAGCCAGCACCCCAGCTCAGTCCTGGCCTGCAATGGGTCTGAGACCTTCCCCCACTGTGACTCTGCATTTAAAGTATATTAGGAGCCAGGTGGACAGGCCGTCTGGCTCAGTCCTGGCTCGTGCCGGGTCTGGGAGCTCAGATCCTCCCCGCACAGGGTCTGCTGCCACCATGTGTTGCTGCCTCTGTATCAGAGGCAGCAGCGTGGGGCAAGAGGCAGCCGGTCTGCAAGGGGAGCTGGTTTTTAAACTGGCTCCCCTCGCAGACCAGCTCCCACCTCCATACAAAGGCAGCATCATGGAGTGCTAGGGAGCTCCTTGGGAGTGGGGATGGAGTGCACTGGCTGCTGGCCCCACCCCCAGAGACTATAGAATAGTCAACTAACCAATAGGAATTCATTAGGTTAATCAATTATTCAATTAACTGATGTTTAACATCCCTAGAGTACAGCGAACGTGCTATTGCTTATTCCTCTTGTCTGCCACTTCTACAACCAAAGTTTGGGGAGGGGTGAGTGAAAAGAAATTCAGGGCCCTTGGGAGGGACATCATATTTCCTGTCTGCTCACTTACAGGTAGGTGGTCTCGGCAGGGGTCCATTGTTGCAGAATTAATAGGTAAGGCAATCTTAGGTGAGGTTACTGATTCTAAGATGTTGGTAAGCTCCGGTTGGTTCACTGTAACCTCTTCCAGGGTAATATAAATGTCTGCTGCCGCTCATTTAATAAGATCCTGGAAGTGGGTGAAATCATCTGCTGCTATTGGAGATGGTGACATAATCACCTCATGGGGTTATACATCTTGACCCTCTTCCTCTTGGTGCTGTGGTGATTGGTATTGGGGGGTGGAGATGAGTCGCGCAGTGTGATGTGTCATTTAGTAAGCCATTGTCTGCAATGGGGTCCCCATGGGCTCCAATACTGCCAGTGTCTTGGGTAGGGGGGCATAGACAATGGCTTCCATGGGTGCCCAGCCCAAGGAGGAACATCATTTTGGCCTACCGGGATTAAGTACATGCTGTTAGTATAGAAGAACCTGTGTGAGGAAAGGTTTGTGGTGAGAAAACTATTTCCATGTCATCATCTTCATGACTGGAGAGACCTGTTGTTGATAAAGTTGCTGCGATGCAGGGATACCTGGTGAGGAGTTGGAACCGAGGAACAGAGAACTGAGTGTTGAAGAGACTAACAGGTCTCTGTGGTGAATATATCTCGGTGCTGGATTAGACGGTGCTGTGCTGGGCTGCACTGAGGCGAGGGAGTGAGGAGTCATGTGGCAGTGCGGAAGGAGCTCGAGGTACCATAGATAGAGCCTGTGACACTAGTGTAAGAGCGTCCATAACCGGTGGTGTCATAATAATCTGAGGCAAACAACTTGAAGCCTTTGGCCTCAGCATGGGATTGATGCATGCTGTGCATAGTGGTGGTGCAGGCAGTGCCAGAGATGCCCTGAGTGTCATACATGCTGAAGAACAGATGTTGTCAGAACCAAATTGGCCAGAAAGCACCATGTCAGAGAAGGGGCTTTGTGCAGCACTGAGGAGGAATGCTTTTTTAAATTCTTTCCCTTCTAGACTGAGGAGCTTCTGAGGGCTCAGTCCCTGGATCTGAGGCTGGACAAAGGGATTTTTCAAGCAAAATGTGCTTGTGGTGAAAGTCTTTATCCCTGCGAACACACGCCTTCAGTTTTGAACAGAGGGGCAGTTGTAGGGAACATGAGACTCCCCCAAACATTGGATACACTCAGAATGCCCATCTAATATGGGCATAACATCATTACAAGTGCTACAATGCTTAAAACCTGGCAAGCCAGGCATCCTAACTAACTACAAGTATGTAACTAGAAAGCGAACTGCAGAAAGAAAAAAAGATTTTTTTTAAACAGGAAGAACTTGGAGAAAAACTAAATGAAGAAAATGGATAGAAAAGAACTACTTGTCTAACTGTAAAAACTCTAATGAAGATAGATTGCTGAGGAACACTGCAAAGCTCTATCTATGACCAGACAGCAAGAAGGAACTGGAGGGAGGAGGCTGCACAAGCACAGTGTCAGTGCACTGAACACACATGACTCGGGTAATGTGCATGCGCAGCCTCAGAACACTCATCTAAAAGACTCAGTATGCAGTAGCATACTGACACCTATTGTGGAGGACCCACAGGGGACATTTCTCGAAGAATGTTCCCCTACCTGTGTTACCATTTCTGATGTCTGATTTGTGTCCATTTATCCTTTCTCTGGTTTAACCAATATACATGACAAAAGAGCATTGCTGGCACTTCATGGCATATATCACATTAGAGGATGTACAGTTGTATGAGCCTCTGATGATGTGGCTTATGTGGTTTGATCCTGTGTTGGTCTCGCTTGTGTAGATATGTGGACAGAGTTGACAACGGGATTTATTGCAGGGGTAGGTAATTGGGTGAGTGTATGTGAGGTGTGAGGTGTGAGGTGTATCTCCCGGAAAAGATTTGCTTCAAATTGAGGAGACTGACTATAGGCAAGGATTAGCCTCTTTCCCAAGGCTTGTGAAGTTGAAGGGCAGTGAAGTATTATAGGTAGTAAAGTATTCAAAGAATTTAGATATAATTATTGGCCAGTATAATATATTGAAATATTAGTAGCATTTTCTTTTTAGTATAGATGAATACATTCTTTAAAATCTTAAGGCTTTATGGAGATCACACAATATAGCAAACTAAGTTTTACATTTTGTCATCTCCATTCTATTAACCAGAAAAATACTTTTCTAGAGAATATCTAAAATTTCTTTTAAAAAATACAGGAAGTGTCATCAAGTCCAGAAGGCAGAAACACAAGTAACAACTCTAAGAAGTTTTAACTGCAAGATTGGACTCATTTTGAGTAAACAAGAGTACTGGAGGGGGGGGGGGGACAAAATATCTTCATCTATTCATAAGTTGCTGCATTAAGCATCTGCAGTTTTTAGAACACACGAGATTCCTCTAATCTTGTAGATGCCTCAACTTAACAGGACACCATTATCAGACTATTATTATATAGCAGTACTTCGAAGAACATGGAAGAACCATCTACTGGCTAACACTGCAGTGCCATCCTGAGAAACTCTTGAAGTGTTACTTCTGAGGATGACTTAAAATAATGTGCTTTAATATCTGTGGCCCATATGCTGTCATGTCCATAACATAGTAGTAATCATTTGGGACTATACCTTTATTGTTTTAAATATGAAATTGCTGCTTTAATAATAAATTCCTGATACAGGACAGGGGGATTTAATTTTGAATTACAGAAAAAGTATCATGTTCATCTAAATCAGGGGTGGGGAACTTAAGGCCCAGAGGATCTATCTGGCCCCTGGGTTGCCTAGATCTGGCCCCCGAGGCGTAGGGCATCCTCCAGCACTGGGGAGCCTGTGCTGGCACTCCAGCCCCCCTGCTGCCTCCCCACAGCCTCTGGGCCCTCAATTGATTTTTCTGTGGGTAGAGGCCCCCCAACCCAAAAAGGGTTCCCCACCCCTGATCTAAATGCAAATTACAATTCTAAATGATCATTTTATTTGTTTTTCTCAGCTTCTTGTAAGTCAAATTACCTGAGCTATGGGGGGAATCTGACTTTGGCCTGGTTGATTTTGTATGCAAACAGCATCGCTCTCTGCCACAGAATCTGTTGCACTTCCATCCTGTTGCGATTCAACCATTTCCATGGTCATTTGTCTAAAAATAAATAATATATTGCAAGGAAATGAATTCAGACCTGAAGTAGGAATATTTAAATTTCAACTCTGTTAAATTATTTTTCTCCTCAACTCCCAAATTCACCTCATTTTCCTAGATGAAATTGGTGAAATTGACAAAAGAACAACACAACAGTACCCTAACATCAAAAAATGTTGCTGTGCAAGACTAGTAAATTAGGTATCAAGCTTACTCCTTTGGTTAGTCAGGACTAGATGGAGCATGTGTAGGTAATACTCCCAGCACTGAATAAGGAAAGCAAAACCTCATTCTTTAGCAACCTGATGGCTACGTCTAGACTGGCCACAAATTGCGGAAAAGGGATGCAAATCAGGTAAGTCAGCATAGGGAAATCCGCGGGGGATTTAAATACCCCCCGCGGATTTAAATAAACATGTCCGCCGCTTTTTTTCCGGCTTGGGGAAAAGCCGGAAAAAAAAGTCTAGACTGGCGCGATCCTCCGGAATAAAGCCCTTTTCCGGAGGATCTCTTATTCCTACCTGAAAGTAGGAATAAGAGATCCTCCGGAAAAGGGCTTTATTCCGGAGGATCGCGCCAGTCTAGACTTTTTTTTCCGGCTTTTCCCCAAGCCGGAAAAAAAGCGGCGGACATGTTTATTTAAATCCGCGGGGGGTATTTAAATCCCCCGCGGATTTCCCTATGCTGACTTACCTGATTTGCATCCCTTTTCCGTTTTTAGGGGCCAGTGTAGACGTAGCCAACGTTGTGTCTAGCACTGCTGATTCCAGAAAAAAAACCTATTCAGCCCTTCCGTATTGGGAGTAGAGGCATGGAAGGAACATTAAATTATCATCCTAAGTTTCCCCTTGTTTTAACTGGGAAAAACAAGGAAACCATTCTGAGGAACCCCAAGGGAGAAATATCTGGCAACTATTCAGAGAATTCTTTAAAGGAGTGGTAGTGCATTGACTCAGTATAGTACAAGTGGAAGTGATAACTTGGTATCTAGGAAGAATTTATTAGAATTTTTCATCTTTTATTTATTCTGTTTAGTTAGACAGTCATGATACTATGTACCCTGAAATGGACAAAATCAGAACCACAAGATTATACCTAACAAGTTAATATTTGTTCTGCATCACTACATCTAGATTGTTCTTGTTTTGTTTTGTAATGAAAATATAATTTTCCTTCATTCTTATCTGCATAAGTTGCCCACTGGAGAGAGATACCAGAATATGAAATTTAAAATATTGATACATCTGAAGAATGCTGATAGAAGTATGTACATAAATCCTACTGTTCTGTCCCTCTAAATAGAAATATCCTACTTTAGACAAAAAATAATTTTGGTTATATTCTTGTTTCTTTTGTTAGAGTAACTCCAAACAGGAAGTTCTCATATTCGGAAGACTGAATAGATTTTGTTTTGAACCAAATGACAGATGTTTAATAATAGATTTTTAAATTGGTATCAGCAACTCTCTTATGATATTTCAAAACCATTTTATATCCTTTAAATCTTAAACCTAAATTTGGGTAAGTTACATCCATCAATTGAAACATATAAACTGAAAGATTATGTTAGGGGAGATTATATTCAAATATATCAGCTACACAAAAACACAATTACCTTACAGTTGTTTTCCCATTATATTTCTTGACATACTTGCTCATAATGAAAAGTGGAAGTGTTTAAAACAAGAGCTTTGTTTTCCTCAGCTTACTTTCTCTCCTGCTTAACACTGCAGTGAAGTTATGATGTTGAAGTTGTGATGTCATAATCATCACCATAGCAACAAACCAATGTCACAAACTGTATACAGCCTTCACTGCAGGATCTAAGATAAGTGGGACACTAACAGAGAAATCTTGTTTGGCATATGTTAATACCAAATATTATAGAAAATACAGGGAAAACAGCAGACAAAGAAAGGAGATTCGTTCTAAATTTTCTGAAACTATAATCTGATCGGATTCCTATTCTTGGGCAGGAACACCCTATTTCAATGGTTTTGAAGCTTCTGAAGTATCCATATCTATTTTTAATACACAAGCCAACTCCTGGTATCTCAGTGCTCTCTGAGACATTGTTTCAAGTGAGAAGCAAATAGCTCCTTAAACACTACACATTTATGTCCAAAATAAGTTGTCAAAATGTTTGTCTTCCACTGAGAAGGAATCAAATGAAAGGAAATAATCAGAGAAGCACAATTACAGATAATTTTCACATCTCTAAGGATACCATCTTGAATGGATATACAAAAAAGCCAAGCTTCCTTTCCTCTCAAACTCTTCTGCTGATCTCAAGTTGTAGTACAGGCAGTCCCTGAGTTACACGGATCCGACTTACGTCGGATCCGCAGTTATGAACGGGGCTTTTCTCGCCCCAGAGGACGGGAGCGGCGGGACGCCCAGATGAGCCGCGGTCCCACCGCCCGCGTCCTCCGGGGCGAGAAAAGCTGCTTCCTGTCTCCCTGGTCT